TATGGGGCGGACTCTCCCTAAAGTTTTAACCATTTCAACACAATTTTAGACATAAAAAGTAATGTTATGACATTTTCCGATATTTATAAATGTACTTTTATTGGAAAAACACATTAAAAATTATCGATGTCTCGGGTAAATATTAATTGTGTTGATGATTTAAAAGGAAGACGACATTCAACAGGAAATCAGGAAATACAATTAAGAACTAAATACGTATTTAATATATGTCAACTAAAAATTTGAAATGTTTTACCATTGCTTTTTAAGTCTAAGATTGTGTCGAAATAGTTAAAACTTAAAGGTGAGTCCGTCCCATGCAGTCGAGTCCGACCCATGCAGGAATCCGGCCATGCAATACTCTTTTCCCTTTAGTACGTTATGGCTTTAAAGAAACGTTAAAAAATTATTTGATTATTTTATTTTCGTTGGAAGTGGTTATAGGGCTGTAGATATTCTAACAGAGAGTCACTTGAAAATACGGCGACACCAAAAACGTAATTGTGAATCAAATTAAAATTAAGAATTTCCCGCTTTTTTCAATTTTTGTCATTTATCTCTTTATATTGAGGGTCATCTAAAATTACGTCAACAGTCTCTTTAAATTAGGATAGTTTGTGTTTAGTCACGTTCTTATGAATATCTAGGATTGAAGAATACTCTGGAGAAGCATATAAGAAACCAAACCATTAGAAGTAGAATAACAAAACTTGTTATTCTGCAGATTAACAGTTAATCATTCTAATAAAAAAATATCAAGAAAAAGTAAAAATAAATCTGCTTTATACAAGTCTATGCTAGAAAATAGTGGAAACAGGAGATCGTTTATAGAAAACCAGGAGAGCAGGAGAACAAGAGAACAGGGAAACAGGAAAATAAGAGAACAAGAGAACAGAAGAACAGAAGAACAGGAAAACAACAGAATAGGAGTACAGAAGAACAGGAGCACAGACGATTAAGAACACAGTAGAAAAGGAGAACAAAAGAATAGGATTACAGGATTACATGAGAACAGGAAAATATGAGAACAGGAGAACAGGATAACAGGAAGAACAGGAGAACAGAAGAACAGAAGAATAGGAGAACAGAAGAACAGAATAGCAGGAGAGCATGAGAAAAGGAGAACAGGAAAACAGGAGAACAGAAGAGCAGGAGAACAGGAAAAAAAAGAGCATGAAAAAACAGCAGAACAGGAGAACAGAAAAAGAGGAGAAAAGGAAAACAGGAAAACAGGAGAGCAGAAGAACAGGAGAACAGGAGAATAGAAAAGCAGGAGAGAAGGAGACAACAGGGGAACAGAAGAAAAAAAACAGGAGAAAACAGAACATGAAAACAAAAGAGCAGCAGAGAAGGAGAACAGAAAAATAAGAGAATGGAAAACAGGAGAACAGAAGAGCAGGAGAACATGAGAATAGGGTAATAGAAGAAAACAGAGGAACAGAAGAACAGAATCGAGAACGAAAGAAAAAAAGAAAATATTAGTTCAGGGTAGTATTGATATTATTTCCTTTTCTATATTTTTGTTTGAAGAAAAATTAAAATTGATCCGACTAAAAACATTTTTAAATTATTATTATCGAAGAGTGTAAATATTTGATCTTTACAAATATTTAGATGTAAGAAATTTTCTATTTAGTTTATATCATCTATCATTATTTCTTTTCTTCCTATTTGGTATAAAAACGTTTAGCTAAACTAGCACAAGCCTACGCAAGGGCTAGACATTTATTTAATTGTTTATTTCCGTTTGTGCACTCAATTTCACACTATAAATTGTACTCAGGAGAAATCAATTTAAAAGTTAATAGTGTCCAGGCATTTCACACTATAAATTGTGCACTCAATTTCACACTATAAATTGTGCACTCAATTTGACACTATAAATTGTGCACTCAATTTCGCACTATAAATTGAACACTCAATTTGACACTATAAATTGTGCACTCAATTTCACACTATAAATTGTGCACTCAATTTCACAATATAAATTGTGCACTCAATTTCACACTATAATTGTGCACTCAATTTTACACTGTAAATTGTGCACCCAATTTCACACTGTAAATTGTGCACTTAATTTCACACTATAAATTGTGCACTCAATTTCACACTATAAATTGTGAACTTAATTTCACACATTAAATTGTGCACTCAATTTCATAAATTATGCACTCAATTTCACACTATAAATTGTGCAATAAATTTTATACTATAAATTGTGCACTCAATTTCACACAATAAATTGTGCACTCAATTTCACACCTTAAATTGTGCACTCAATTTCACACTGTAAAATCTGCACTCAATTTCACACTGTAAATTTTGCACTCGATTTCACACTATAAATTGTGCACTCAAGTTCATACTATAAATTGTGCACTCAATTTCACACTGTAAAATCTGCACTCAATTTCACACTGTAAATTGTGCACTCAATTTCACACTGTAAATTGTGCACTCAATTTCACACTTTAAATTGTGCACTCATTTTCACACTATAAATTGTGCACTCAATTTCATACCACATATTGTGCACTCAATTTCACACTGTAAATTGTACACTCAATTTCACACTGTAAATTGTGCACTCAATTTCACACTTTAAATTGTGCACTCAATTTCACACTATAAATTGTACACTCAATTTCACACTTTAAATTGTGCACTCAATTTCACACTATAAATTGTGCACTCAATTTCACACTATAAATTGTGCACTCAATTTCACACTATAATTGTACTCAATTTCACACTTTAAATTGTGCACTCAATTTCACACTATAAATTGTACACTCAATTTCACACTTTAAATTGTGCACTCAATTTCACACTATAAATTGTGCACTCAATTTCACACTATAAATTGTGCACTCAATTTTGTACTATAAATTGTGCACTCAATTTTATACTATAAATTGTGCTCGGGAGATATCGCTTTAAAAGTTAATAGTGTCCAGGCATATATACGTGCAAGCTTTTAACAATAATTTAAAGTGTTTAAATAATTTTTTTCAAACACGTTAAATAAGTTTCTTGTTGAAATAATGCCCGGACTTAGCCTTGTGTGGCACTGTGGCAGGGATCTTTTCAATTTTTCATTAATATTTAACTTCTCTATTCATATGCAAAAAGCACACAAAATTAAGCTTCAAAGAATTTAAAAATTCTCAGGGGAAATGTTAAACAAAATTTGCTAAACAAAAATATTCTTTAAAATTATATTGATTTGAAAAAAAATGTGAACCATCGCTTATATTAAAAACATTTCCTGGAGTACAGAAAATAAAGTTTTAATTACTTTTAAATATTCTAAGAGTTTTGATAATTTCCTAAAACTTTTCAACAGATAAATTTATACTTTTTTGGAAAAATAATTTTATTCTTCAGTTTTCATCAACATTAAATCCAAAAGGAGTGTGCACTCAATTTCACACTATAAATTGTGCACTCAATTTCACACTATAAATTGTGCACTCAATTTCACACTATAAATTGTGCACTCAATTTCACACTATAAATTNAATAAAATGTAAAGGGAATAAAAAAGGAAAAGAAAAAAAGCAAACAGGGAAAAAAATGAAAAAACTAAAAACCCTAAATTTAAAATGTTATACAAATTTCTGAAGATAAGTAACTTTTTTTTAAATCGATAAGGGCGTGGAACAGAAGAGATTATTTTGTCTGTAAAACAAATTCCTAACTTCTTGCAAAGATTATTGAAGATGTACTTCAGCTTTTATTTTGTTTTTCTCCATAAGCTATGGTTTTTCATTCTAATACCATAAACAAAAAATTAACTTTAAGTGCCATATAAAATTGAAATAAAAAATTGGGAAAATGTAAATTTTTAGCAATCATGTAGAACTTGAATTTAAATTGAATCTTTTTCTTCACTTCAACACCTTTAAAATCAATCTCAAATAAGAAAGGTTAGATTTTTATTTTAGATTTTGAAATTTTACAATATTAAAAATGTTTTCAATAAATTATTAAGAGTTTATGTTTAAGTGGATTAATCATAGTTTATGTTTAAATGGATTAGTATGAGTTTATGTTTAAATGGAATAATAAGAGTTTATGTTTAAATTGATTAATAAGAGTTTATGTTTAAATGGATTAATAAGAGGTTATATTTAAATGGATTAATAAGAGTTTATGTTTAAATGGATTCATAAGAGTTTATGTTTAAATGGATTAATAAGATTTTATGTTTGAATGGATTCATAAGAGTTTATGTTTAAATGGATTAATAAGAGTTTATGTTTGAATGGATTAATAAGAGTTTATGTTTAAATGGATTCTAAAGAGTTTATGTTTAAATGGATTAATAAGAGTTTATGTTTAAATGGATTCTAAAGAGTTTATGTTTAAATGGATTCTAAAGAGTTTATATTGAAACTTTGTTCTTCTTTCTGAGTATTCCTTTTTTCAAACTTTAAGCAATGATGAACGGATGAAAGACAAGATTTGAAAATGTTGATAAATCCACATAATTTACATAAACCCTTTTTTTCTTGCAAAAGCTTAATGATTATTTCAAATTGTGACCCCAAAAACATTTTTTGTTGTAAGGATTGACCTAGCTGTGTTCCAGTAATTTGGTTTATATTTATATATAGTAATATAGTTCATATTAAAATAGATTTATAATAATTCCAACAATCGCATCTATATATATATATAAAGTAGTAATCTCTATTTGACTGTATTTCCTAACTCAAGAACCCATTGACTGATTTCCGTCAAACTCTAATTTGGAAACTCGTTAAAACCACGGGAATGATCTTAGTTTTGTTTGAAACTCGTTAAAACCACGGGAATGATCTTAGTTTTGTTTGAAACTCGTTAAAACCACGGGAATGATCTTAGTTTTGTTTGAAAATTCTTAGAATTTCCTCTACTGTCCCTTTAAGAGAGTTGTATTTAATTATAGGGAAAGTTTAGATATACAGCTGGGGTCCCAAGCATAGTAAACATATATAAAACTATAAAAATATTACCTTCACATGATCTTAGATTTGCTGAAGGTTTCTACAGTGATGGAAAGATGGAACCATAGACCTAGTATTCTCAGGGTACAGGATACATCAAACCTCATCTTCTCAGGGTACTGGTGATATCAGAGCTGTAATTCACCAAACCCCAACCTCTCAGTTAACATGATGCAACACATCTCATCTTCTTATGGTGAATACTGGATACATAAAACCTAGATTTCTCAGGGTTCAGGATAATAGACTATTGTCAGGGTTCTTTCAAACATTTCTTACTTAAATCTGAAAAAGGAAATCAAAATTCAAATCTTTAAAAAACAAATTTAGTATCGAATTTTTTTAACTTTACCCCAAAAATGTGTAGATTTTTTTTTTTTTTAACTTTAACAATTTATTTATTTTTAATTTTTTATGAAACAAATTTACTGATACATGTATTAAATGCAGAATGCAAATAATCATTTTTACAATCTTCTTGTTTCCTGGCTGACCTGTTTTGCTCATTAAATTAGCTGCATACCCCCCCCCCCCAGGATGGTTAATATGCAGTTTCGAGAGCTGACCAGGTAATTTCTGTATTTCAATATCAGCTTTTGAGTTTCTGTATTTACTCCAGTTGGCAATCTAAGTTTATTGCTGACATTGTTGTATAATGAGAACTTCCCTTTGTCAGCTGCATTACATGTATCTGTGTCTTGCAGTAATTTAAAAAGAAATTAAAAGACCTCCTAGCCTTAACTGCATTCGGCTAGGTTCAAGGTAATTTAGGTGTACCCGCTAGGAATGTACCCATGATACCAATGATGATCTCTCTCAGAAAGTTTTGATTTAGATTCCACAGCAAAGCAGTTTCTGAGTTCCACTTTATCTGCTCGTGAAGTAGGATAAGGTTGGAATTTAGGAGGTAGTAGGATTACGATGAGGGTGTATTCCCACGTGGACAGATTTTTAAAGAAAAAATCACCCGCTAAGCATGCTGTCCAATCGCTTTAAAACACGGGGAGTGTGTTTTTAGCCTATCATTGTCAGAGGTCTGCCATGAGTAATCCAGTTTCCATCTTGAGAAGGGTGATAAACCGGTTTATGGTATTTGATTTAAAACCGGTATCAGCGTGTACTTCATCCCTGATTTTTTGAGTTTCTGTATTCCTTCTGTATTCATCTTTATTACTATATCTTGTTTGGGATTAATCACGCTTTCCACTTAGTTGTTGAGAGAAGAGACCTTGATATCTAGACTACTGTACTAGTACAATGCACATATAGCGCCCTTTCTCTCAACAGGCTTAGAAAGTTCTGCTGACACCCTTCCTCTGGCAGGTTCGGGTACACACTGGTATATTTGTTCTAAACCGTCCCTTTTCTTAAACATGTTCATATTTTTAATTTGAGAGCGAAAATTTATTCTTTTGATTGTTTATTTTCTTAGTTATTTGTTTCTTCTAATCAAATATATAAACAACTGACTGAACCGATTGAGACAATTTTTGTGCAGGGCTGGGGCCTCACATGGCCCGAGGTGGTGATCCTGGCCATGCAAAAAAATAGAGATTAAATGTAAACATTTTGATTTCAATATTCCATGTGTCTAATATATTTTTTAAAACATTAAAACACATAATTTTAAAATTAAATTAAAATTTTAAAGTTAGTTAGATAAAGTTAAAGCATGCAACGGATATTTAATAGCTTGAAATGTGTTTTACATTTGTTTGTATTTCCTGGATTTATCGCTATTATTTATTGCTATATAATTCACAGGATCATGGTTTTAGACTTTTATATTCTCTATTTTATATCAAACAATTTTTTACATCATTCCACTCTCACCTAAGCTCTCGGTGCGTTCTGAAGTGTTTTGCAATACACTGACCGAAGATATATTAGCTATAAGTGGAGAGTTTCTTTCATTTATTACTTTCGATGGGGATATTATGAATTATTTTAATTCCCCTAATCTATAAACTAAATCTTCTTCTTACCCTCTACGACTTAAAGATAAAGCGATTCTAAATATAACTCCTATAGAATAAATCTACACCCTACTCCCACTCCTACTCTCTATAGAATAAATCTGGCATTTTTTTCAACCTTCCCTAGCACACAAACTATAAAAGTTATCGATCAAATTTTTTTTCATTGAGCTGGCCTTGACAAATTGGGCTGTGAACATGAAATGAAAGATTCACCGACAAAAGTTCAAACGACACAGGGTCAAACGACAAAGGGTCAAACGACAAAGGGTCAAACGACAAAGGGTCAAACGACAAAAGGTCAAAATTATAAAAATATTTTTTGATTTGAATCATAGGAAACTCGCAACCCTCCTATCAATTTTGTACATGGATCTTATACGTAAGACATGGATATAATTGACCATGTGGCCGCAGCGCTCGGCCCCCTAGCCTGTCCCAGCCGCAGCGCTCAGCCCAGAAAGTGTCTTAACTAACCTAACCCGTGGCCGCAGCGCTTGCCCCCTAGCCTTGTCCTGGCCGCAGCGCTCAGCCCAGAAAGTGTCTTAACTAACCTAACCCGTGGCCGCAGCGCTTGCCCCCTAGCCTGTCCTAGCCGCAGCGCTCGGCTCAGAAAGTGTCTTAACCTAACCTAACCCTAAATAATAATAAATAAATACTAACTGTCACAAATGTCAAAATTAAAAAAAAAATTGCCCCTTTGTCGCATTTTTTGACCCTATGTCGTTTTACCCTTTGTCGCGCTTTTGACCCTTTGTCGTTTGACCCAGTGTCGTTTGACCCAGTGTCGTTTGACCCTTTGTCGTTTGACCCTTTGTCGTTTGACCCTTTGTCGTTTGACCCTTTGTCGGTGAACCCCACGTATATTTCACTTCTAATCCTCCTCCTACTTGTTTGTATGCAAAATCCCTAAAGGTAATTGTATGCTGTGCTCCTGTATACCAATGATTGAAAGAAGATGAATAAACAATCTTGTTTTTCTTTCATTTCTCCACCTTCACAGAGGGATAAAAGTTAATAGAGAGGGTAGGAAATTCATAGAGAATAAGAATTAATAGAGATGTTTCATCGAGGTTTAATATCTATAGAGACGGTACAGAAATTGATTGAATATTAGAATTTATATAAAATATTTGTGACATTCATCCAAAGAGGATTAAGGTTTATAGAAACAATAGTAACGTAAATCCATACAGAATAATGAATAAATAACAGTGTGCAGTCATCCATAGAGGATTAGGATTTTTGGAGTATACATAATGTCAATCATGATTAAAAATGCTTTTTTTAAAACAACGACTCCATAGTTTTCCAAAATTATGATATACCAGATGTTAATAAAATTTTTGACAAATATAAGGAATCATGGGAAAATGTGTTTGTTTTGCTTTTAGAATTTATAACAAAACCAAGGACGATTTTTAAATCGTTTAATTTCATGTTAAATAGGAAACCCTGTACTCATATGAAGTGTAAGATAAAAAATATCCAGAATAAATGTGTTTTTTTGCCTGATTTAACCGAAACATCATTTATTGGAGAACTGAGAGGAAATAAAGATTATTGAAGGATAAAATGAAGTGTAAGAAATACACAAGAAAGTATAAAACTTTAAAGGGACTGTAAGCGTTATTTCAAGCGACCCTCCCTGGAAAGATTGCAATGCCCGATTCACAACGGTGCCTTTAAACCCTTTCTTTGATCCAAAATGTGGAAGATATCATCTTTCCTGACTCAAAATTTGTTTCTCTGATAATTTCTCCATTGTCTCTCAAAACAAGAAATGTGCAAGTCACTTTCGAAAGAACCGACAATTGCCACAAATGAAAATATACAAACAAAAAAACATGGATATATTTCATTCATAATTGATCAGACAAAGCTTTTAAGGGTACCGTTGTGAATCGGGCATTGTCATCTTTAGTCACTTGAAATTACGATTGTGCAGTCACCTTTAATGGTAAATAAGATAAAATATAAAAGAATGAATAAGATTAAAAGCAAAGGGATGAAAAAAAATAAAAAGGATGAATAAGAGAAATTGCAAAGGGATGAAAAAAATAAAATATAGAAGGATGAATAAGATAAAATATAAAAGGAAAAATAAGATGAAATAAAAAAGGATGTATATGATAAAATATAAGAGGAAAAATAAGATAAAATATAAAAGGATGAATAAGATGAAATATAAAAGGATAAATAAGATGAAATAAAAAAGGATGTATATCATAAAATATAAAAGGAAAAATAAGATAAAATATAAAAGGATGAATAAGATGAAATATAAAAGGATAAGTAAGATAAAATATAAAAGGATGAATAAGATGAAATATAAAAGGATAAATAAGATAAAATATAAAAGGATGAATAAGGTAAAATATAAAAGGATAAATAAGATAAAATATAAAAGGATAAATTAGATAAAATATAAAAGGATGAATAAGATAAAAGGATGAATATGATAAAATATAAAAGGATGAATGTGATAAAATATAAAAGGATAAATAAGATAAAATATAAAACAATGAATAAGATAATATTTAAAATGATGAATGATATAAATTATAAAAGGATGAATAAGATGAAATATAGAAGGATAAATATGATAAAATATAAAAGGATAAATAAGATAAAATATAAAATTATAAATAAGATTAAATATAAAAGGATAAATAAGATTACATATAAAAGGATAAATTAGATAACATATAAAAAAATGAATAAGATAAAATATAAAAGAATGAATAAGATAAAATATAAAAGGATGAATATGATAAAATATAAAAGGATGAATAAGATAAAATATAAAAGGATAAGTAAGATAAAATATAAAAGGATGAATAAGATGAAATATAAAAGGATAAATAAGATACATAGATTAAAAATGCGCATCTTTTGAAGGAATTAATCTACCCCTCTCTTACCGCACAAAAATGCCATCGGGGGTCCAGATTCTTTAATATGTTCTTTCATATGATTATAGCTTTTTGTTTTAATAATAGGCTTTGCTTTATTCCCATTTCCAAAGATTGGGGTTTGGTATTAGGAGTAATAGGTTACTAAAAGTTTCTCATGCCGTTTGCCCGCACTTCAACGATTTTACCGGGAAACTAAATGTTCGCTATTAAAATCGACCCACTCAACTTCTCAAATCTCAAATCCAAGCTAAGAACATTCTCGTGGGTCTCCCAAGTTCCCTAATACAAATTTGAGGCAAATCTGTCCAGGAATTCCTGAGTTATGATTGGACAAACATACATACCGACAGGCAAACAGAGATTTGGAGAGCTTGGACTGTTGATTTAATATTTGGGATTATTGATGGATGGATTCTCCATTTTGTTAATGGGATATTTGACAGGGATCAGGGTCATCTTCAAAATAGAAATTTATTTCTTCTAAATCTTCTTTAAAACATCTTGGAATAAGATATTGGGCCATTTTATGGAAGGACATTTCATAAACTAAGAAAACTTCCTATGGATCAGGTAAATAACTCCTTTTTTCCAACACGCAATATAAAATCTGTTAAAAATGCATTTACAATCTTTTTAAATTTGTACAAATTCTATTACAGCAAGTTATAGATCTTTAGTCCATATCTATTGCCTCCCAGTTCCCTGTTCCATATTCTCCCATCTCCTTATTCAACATTATCCCAGTTTCTTGTTCCTTATTCTCCTAGTTCCTTGTTCCATTTTCTCCCAATTCCTGTTCCATATTATTCTAATTCCTTGTTCCATATTCTACCAGTGCATTGTACCATATTCTCCCAATTCCTTATATAAAGTTCTTCTAGTTCCTGGTTCCATATTCTCCTAGTTCCTTGTTCCATATTCTCCTAGATCCTTGTTCCATATTCTTCTAACTTCTTGTTCCATATTATTCTAGTTAAATGTTCCATATTCTCCTAGTTCCTTGTTCCATATTCTTATAGTTCCTTGTTCATTATTCTCCTAGTTACATGTTCCATATTCTCCTAGTTACATGTTCCATATTCTCCTAGTTCCTTGTTCCATATTCTTCTAGTTCCTTATTCCATATTCTCCTACTTTCTTCTTCCATATTCTCCTAGTTCCTTGTTCCATATTCTTCCAGTTCCTTGTTCTTTATTCCTTATTCTCATAGTTCCTTGTTCTATATTCTTCTAGTTCGTTGTTCCATATTCTCCCAGTTCCTTATTCCATATTCTTCCAGTTCATTGTTCCATATTCTTCTAGTTCATTGTTCTTTATCCTCATAGTTCCTTGTTTAATATTCTTCAAGCTCCTTGTTCCATATTCTCCTAGTTCCTTGTTCCATATTCTTCAAGATCCTTGTTCTTTATTCTCATAGTTCTTGTTCCATATGCTTCTTCTTCCTTGCTCCATATGCTTATCGTTCCTTAATCCACATTGTTTGTTGCATGTTCCAGATTTTATACACGGTGTCTAAAAAACGGGGAGTAAGGGTCTACATAGTACCAACTCTTTTGTAATCGGATTTTCAAGATTGAGACAATTTTTGAAATGTACGTACAATTTTCCATTCAATGGGCTTAATTTTAGGCTTGCATGTTGATCTAAAAATTACAATTTAACAGGCTCCTAAAGTTTCTAATTGGGGTGAGAAAATTTGGTAAAAATAAAGATGATATCCGTTTGTACAATATTGTATAATGGTCTACAGACTTATTTGTAATCGGATTTTTAAAGTTGAGACCATTTTTAATATCTACGTTCAATTTCCGATTCAATGAGTCCAATTTAGACTTCCAGATCTTACAATAAATATCATATCTTAAATTAAAATCTTACCGGCTTCTAAAGTTTCCAGCGCCTCATTCACTTTACGAAATTGAGGTCAAGATTAAAAGAGAAATAGCTGGCCTGGACTTAACTGTCTAGCTCCCAAAAAGCTATTTATGAAGTTTGATCAAAGGCCCAAAATTGTCTTGCTGCCAGTGGTGGACAGTTTGAATAAGATTTTTATAAGCGGTTGAATTAAACGGTAATAAAGTGTAACCTAACATTGAATACAAACAGAGATTATCTTTTACTTTTTACTTGCTCCAGTTGAAAACTTTAGGAGCCTATAAAATTGTTGTTTTTGTTGTCTACAAGCCTAATATTAAAACTATTTAAACCGGAAATTTGATGTAGATATTAATCCTATAAAGGCTGGGAGGGGGGGGGTGTCTGAATTTATGTATGGCCTAGGAGTGAGGCATCCCACGCCGCCCTACCCTAGAAAAAGGCCTTTGAGAATAGTATAGGGTTGAAATTTATGTTCATTGTTCAATTTTTTAAGGTCAGCTCATTGAAAAAAAGTAGACCAATAGCTTAAATAGTTAAGGTGCTAGGGAGTAGGGAGGGTTGAAAAAATGCCAAAAAATGTAAAAATATTTTTTTATTTTTTTTTTACAAATATCAGTGTGACACATGTTTCTACGACCAATTTTTAAGGGCTTTTCAAAAATATAGTTTTAAGATCTGAAACTTTAGTCAAAAACTGTTTTGTGCTATTTTAGCTTTTTCTACACAGACCAGACTTTATACCGCCCTATACCCAACCCTATGCACACAAAAACCTGTGTAAGAGTTAAAAATGGTCTAAGTCTTGAAAATCCGATTACAAAGAGGTCTGTAGACTATTGTGCAAAATCGTGCAAACGGAGATTATCTCTATTTTTACCAAATGTACTCACTCCAATTGGAAACATTATTAGTCTATAAAAATGTAATTTTTAGATCTTCAAGTCTAAAATTGGGCTCTTTGAATCGGAAAGTGTACGTAGATTTTAAAAATTGTCTCAAGTTTAAGCAAAATCCATATCCCAGTACTTTTACTTCTCACTCACCAAACAATAGGATTTAGTAAATTCACAATATTTAATTAATTCTAGCTTTTGACATCAAATCAAATCATATCAAACTTTTAGATACGTCCTATTTTCATACAAAAAATTGAAAATGACTGTACAGTACTGTAGATTACATGCAATGCTTGCAATTCACAACATTACCCTTGATTGAAACCTTTATCTGATTCAAGTCTCCCCTTTATTGTAAGGAAAAAAAAACATTTAAAAACTAATGCCAAGCCCAAAAGCAACAAACAGATTTAAAAATCAAACATCAACTGTTGAGAACTTTTCTCTTGGGTTTTATACTTATCTCTATCAGGCTTTTTCAAAGTTCTCGGAAACCCAAGCAATGAAGAAACAGATTCTATCTTCAGTATTGTCTTGTTATATTCAAAATCCTGATCTTAAGGGTGGAGTGTGACTATCCTAGGAATCCTAGCCGGCAGAATGTAGAATTAAACGCGCCATTTTAGATACGTACATTGAACCAGTTCAGGATGGTATCTTCTCAACTTCACAGTGAGACTTTGGCTTCACAACTCTATGCCATCTTTCATTGAGTCCAGTAGACTTTCTATAGTAAAAAAAAGAAGTCATACCAAAAATGATTTCAAGAACCATAATTTAGTAAGAACACGAAGTTATTTCATCAGTTTAAACATAACACATGGTCTTCATCATTGAAATGTTCAATTATTTTTTAACACAAATTCATTTTCCGAAAATATAAGAACTATAAAACCAATTGACAAATTTCTGGCTCCGTATATAGTCAATAATAATATATGGTGCAAATCAATTCAAATTTAGAAAAATCTTTACAGGTTGCTCTTTTTATTCACAAAGTACATAAAATTACGAAAAATTACAAAAAAATTCTTTTACATTCGCTATTTTTTATTATTAAAATACAAAAAGGGGTTATCAACAAAATATAGATTTAAAAATTAACATTGTTTAAGAAAATTTACCAATTAGTTTACACAAAAATGGTTACGAAATGAGCAAAAGAGGTAAAACAAAATCAGATTCACTAATGTAATTAAAAGAAAAATTACTATTAATTATATCTATATTAAGCTAGAAAAAATGGTAACAAAATTGTAATTTCACACATGTAAGAAGTAAAAAAAAACTTTTCTTTGACGGTAAAAAATTTACAAGATAAAAATTACTAATTTTTGCCAACAAATAAGAGAGCTATTTTGAGCTTGTTTCAAGATGATTTTAAAATAAACATTGCTCTAAGAGGCTAAACCGTATTCAGTTAAATTAAATTAAGCTAAAAGCTGCGGAACGTTTATTTTTTTTAATAATTTTAAGCTCAGTATATTCTACATGTTTGAATTGATGACATGGTTTCAGTCTGATGATGTTAAAATATACAGTTCTAACAGATATAATTCAACTTTAAGCAAGGTTGCTAGGAAATTTCATTTTATCAGATGGTGTGTATGATAAATAAACAAAATGGCGGATCAGATTTAGACTGAACTAAATGGCGGTTCAGGTTCAGCTGAACAAAATGGTGGATCAGGTTCAGCTTAACAATTTAGCGGATCAGAATCCGCTGAACAAAATGGCGGATCGGATTTAGGCTGAAAAAATGGCGTTTCAGATTTAGGTTAAACCAAATGGCGGATCTGATTTAAACTGAACAAAATGGTTGATCAGGTTCAGCTAAACAAAATGGATGATCTGATTTAGGCGAAACAAAATGGCGCATTAGATTTAGACTGAAAAAAATGGTGGAGCAAGTACAGCTGAACACTATTGCGGTCCAGGATCAGCTGATATAGATCGCGCAAATTCAACTGAACAAGATTGTTAATAGGGTAAATAATGAACAGCGTTCTTCTTATCTAATCCTGCTGTCAGAGTTAGATCTTGATCGGAGTAACGGAGAACTCGTCTTACTCTCTTGACTTCCGGTCCCTCGGGAGATTATATCCTGGGGAAAAAAAAACTTTAAATTCAATTTCAGGTGGACTCATTTTCTATCAAAATTATTTTTGTGGAGGATAAGTTTTACTTCATCCCAAACTCCTATTACTATTTTACTCCTTTCTGCATAGATTTTTTTAAAGTTTTGAAGAGGATAAAAGCAGTTGAATTTTTATTTTCCTCATCATTTTAGTTTTAACTGGTGAATTAATTTTTCTAAATCTTGATAAAATGTATTTGTTTAAAATATTTGGACAAACTCTCCACTTTATAACCTGACGTTCATTAGAGATTATTTGGTCCCTCCTTGTATATGTACCATTTCATATAATTCTGTACAGTAAAACTCATACATTATACATCGGAAGAATTCATATTATAATTTCGCCGTGAATTTGAATTTGAAGCTGTCTTGTATTTTATCAAGCTATCAAAGTTTTCCGCTCACAGCTTTACAGGGATATGTGTAATTTACTAAAGGATAATCAAAATATCCGTGTCGAAATGTAAAGTTTTTATCGGGTATGAAAATTTTTCTGAATTTGTTTTTTTGTTAAGATATATATTTGTTGCACTCAATCTTCATATGGTTGGGCTCTAAGTTACCTGCAGGGTGTCCCACATCATATTAGACCGCGTCAATGGGTCTAAATTACGATTTGGGGGACAAAACCAGAAAATTTAAGAAGAATGAATCATTTTGAAACATATACTAAGGCTAATAGAATTTTTTTTTGTAGAACATGCTAGATTTTTCGAGTACTATGTGCGTATTTTGGCGTTTGGCGTTAAAGATTGGAGATAATTTATCGTGATATGGGACGCTCTGTATAATAAATCCTTCCTATTATATAACTCTCAGCGGCGAACCCGAGTAAAAATCTTAAAGAAAAATTCTCCCAATATCTTCTCATAATTATGTTTAACTGTACAGTGTACATACCTGTACATGTTGTACAATCAGATCTATTGCTACAGTATTCTCAGCTCCACGTGGAACAATTACATCAGCAAACTTCTTCGTAGGAATACAGAATTCTTCAAAAGCGGGCTTAACTGTACATTATCTTATTCAAACTGCTGTATATATATATTTGTATAATTTTTTTTTACCAATTAAAAAAAACTGTCTGAAACTTGTGAAAGTACATTAATCCTATTATGTAAGTTTAGATGAAGATTCATATGACTATGTACTGTGAAAGTACATTATCAGACTCTAGTGTACAACTGAACTAGTATAAATTAGGATTTCTAGAGTAATGTTACTGTACTGTGAGAGTACATGATCTAACTCTAGTGTACTACTGAACTAGTTTAAATAAGAGTTCCTAGAGTAATGTACTGTGAGAGTACATGATCTAACTCCAGTGTACTACTGAACTAGTTTCAATAAGAGTTCCTAGAGTAATGTACTGTGAGAGTACATGATCTAACTCCAGTGTACTACTGAACAAGTTTCAATAAGAATTCCTAGAGTAATGTACTGTGAGAGTACATGATCTAACTCTAGTGTACTACTGAACTAGTTTAAATAAGAGTTCCTAGAGTAATGTACTGTGAGAGTACATGATCTAACTCCAGTGTACTACTGAAAAAGTTTAAATAAGAATTCCTAGAGTAATGTACTGTGAGAGTACATGATCAAACTCTCGTCCCCTCTCCTCCATGTCTCGTAAAAGTCTCCTAAACAATACGAGATATCAATTCTACAGAAAGTTAAAATTGAAAACGTATTCTTCTCTCTTAAACATATTATGTAAGTTCAAATCAGCCTGCTTGCAGAGACTGGGACTACCTGACAACCCTGTATCTACCTGGCAACCTATTATCTACCTGACAGCCCTTTATCTACCCGCTTACCCTTCATCTACCTGAGAAGAAAACCCTGTATCTACCCGGCAACCCTTTATCTACCTGGCAACCCTGTATCTATCTGGCAACCCTGTATCTATCTGGCAACCCTGTATATATCTGGAAACCCTGTATCTATCAGGAAACCCTGTGTCTACCTGGCAACCCTGTATCAATCTGGCTAACCTGAATCTATCTGGCAACCCTGTATCTACCTGGCAACCCTGTATCTACCTGGCAACCCTTTATCTACCTGAAACCCCTGTATCTACCCGGTAACCCTGTATCTACCTGGCTATACTATGTCTACCTGATAATCCTGTATCTACTCGGCTATATATAATGTGTCTACCTGGCAACCCTTTCTCTGCATGGCAACCTTGTATTTACCTGGCTAACCTGTATCTACCTCGCAACCTTGTATCTACCTGGCTAGCCTTGTATCTGGGTCTGTATCCACGAAAAGCTTGAGGTTGAAAAGATCTCTGAAAAAAAATCGAACCAATTAATTTTAAAAAAATGTTCACAATTATTTTCAGTTTTGTCAGATCCGCAATATTTAATTGGCACAAATTATAAGTAAATAAAAAAATTTATGTGCTGACTTAAAACAATTATAAACTTCAAAAAATATTAATAAGCAGAATCTGGATGAATTTCTCAAATTTCGGATACGCATGAGAATGGAATTGATCCTAAGCACTGAATATAATAAGGTTAAGAACTTGAATTGACCAAAAAAACAACAATTTCTATTAAAAATCTAAAATTGTATACATCTTTAAGTTACCTCATCTTGGTGTAGTAGAATATAAGGATACCCTCTACAAGGACAACATCACTAGGGTAGATGATTGTGTACTCCCCGGGAACTCGAGAGTTTGTCTTGAAATCATAAACAGGAACCTGCAACATTAATCAATCAATCAGAGTTTAAGGGATGTCCTACAACTCTTATATCAAACTCAAGATGAAATTACTAAATCAAGAATGAGCTCTGGCCATAAACAATTTGTTGAATTTATTTGCTAATGTCGTCGTCATTAACACGATAACGCATGGATTGTAAAGATTTTTGAAAAGCTAAAAGGAACTGTAGACGTAATATAAATAACTAGCTGCTAAAGACGGACAATGGACATGTCTGAAAATTTCCTTCAATGCCTCGATTCAGTATATATCCGCAAGTCACTAATATGGAGACACCACAATTGAAAATAATAAATTTTCAGATAGAAATAAAAACAAGAATTCTCATTCATCTTTGGTCGAAGAATTAAGGGTACCGTTCAGAATCGGATAAACCACTCTGTAATTGTTTTTAGGGATGTCCCACACACCAAAATTGAAGTGAGTATACTAAATCAATACTGATGCGAGGTCTTACGATTTGTACTCTTTGTCTATTTTCCCTTGATTGTTGAAGAAAACCCACGAAGAAGTTATTTTTATCACGGTCATAAACAAGAACGAAACTGAACAAATTCAACAATTTACAACGGACATCCGACGTTATGGCCAGACTGCCAATCACTGATTCTAGCCCACGGCATAATTGCGTCAGTCAATTTTTTTAACCGGAGACAGATCTCTGCCCTGTTGGCTGGTTAATTTGTGAACAATGATATTTATTATGAGCTAATCTCGTCTGGAAAGAATCAAGTGATATATTTAATTATCGACATGATTTTTAAATTCATATTCAAATTCATAGCTGTTTAAGCTACAGGGTGGCCAAAACTTTTTTGAACAAATCCGTACAAAAATCCGTACATTTTCAGAAGAAATCCGTACAATTTTCGAAAAAAATCCGTACAATCCGTACAATTTTTTTTTAAAAAATCCGGACATTTTTTTAAACCAATCCGTACATTTTTTCAAAAATCCGTACATTTTTTTAAAAATCTGTACAATCAGTACAATTTTTTAAAAAATCCCATTTTTGAAAAAAAACATTAAAATTCAATTTTTCTTTCATTGTCCTTTGTGTTCAGTTCATGTAAGAGGGTTTAAACTATAGAGAATAGAATATATGGAGAGGAATTAAAAGAATCTCACGGTATGAATTTTTTCAGTCCCTTTCAGTCTGAAAGGGAGTTCAAAGTGTACAAATCATGTAAATGTTCACAAATGATATGCAGTAGAGTACACAAATACAGTATGTTCCCTAGACTATTCATTTCAATTTCGAAATTTTTAAAGCTGTTAAATATACTTTATAATGAATAAGGTGAATATAAAACATCATTTGATTTATAGTTATAACGGAAAATCATCGTTTGTAAAGTGGAAGGCATAGAGTCTATGTGAAATGATCATTGGTCAATTATGAAACCAGCCTATTTCATAATTTGGTTTTCTTTTAACA